TACCTATTTTGTTAGAGGGCAGAAATTATGACCCAATATAGTTATATATAGAAACTGCACTGTCTGCAATCGCTGTATAACGATGCGCAATATTACAGACAGGCACATTGTCTGAATGCTCCAAAACGTCCATAAAAAAGGATGTAACCCCGGTACTGGTACTGTGGAATAAAAAAAAAAACTGTGTTTTAAAATTATGGGGCTGACCTAAAGAGGCGGTTAACTGCAGGCACTTTTTTGTTATTAAACGTTGTTGTGATGTGGGGTGGTGGTGGGGGGGGGGATGAAAGGGGTTTAGACCGGGATAGGTGCCCTATGCATGTTAAGCCTCTGTCACAACAGTACGTACTGGCTCTTACGACCAGTTTACGACCAAATTTTGCGTAGAATCTCACGTGCCGCGCAAGTTCTTCTTGCGAAATTTGAAATTCGCAGACAGCCCGTAAGCCAACCCGCACGAAAATGCAGTAGTATCGAAGTAGCAAAGAAGCATTAACGCAGTAGAGGTGTGGAGCATATTTGCAGTAGAAATGCAGTATAGCGTACTGCAATTCTACTTCAAAAATTACATAGGGTTGTACAGAGGAGGAGCGTTAATGCAGTAGATTAGCAGCATGATAGAAGCATGTTTCAATTATGCTAATTAGCTCCCACATCGAAGTAGATTTGAAGCATGTTTGCAGTATAATTGCAGTAGTCTACTGCGCTGGAGTATCTACTTCGTTTTTGTGCGGGAATACGGAGGACGTTGGAAATGTCCGAAAGATTCTACAAATAATCTGCGAACAGCGAGGCCGCAAACGTAGCTTCCTCCACTCGCAAGGAGTTCGCGAGAAGTAAGCAATGGAGTCGTGTGTGGTCCAAGACACATGTCAAAAACATGTGGTTCCCTTCGAGACACAGATGACCTAATTTGTGGCACCGGTCCATTTAGAATTGCTATTGACGTCACATGTTGATATAGCTGTGTCTGCTGTACATCTCGTCCCATGGAAGAGACATAGTTTAGAAATGGTTATTCAGAACTTTTTGTCTTTCAAATAATTTTGAAATTACGGAACAAGTCTCTGTTTTTCTTGGTTTATTGTATACTTTCCAAATATTCACAGCTGTGATGTACACAGTCCTTTTTTTATTTTGACTTGCTGGTTTCGTATTAGTCAAATGTTGCGTAGTCAACATCGATGGAAAATCGAAATTATTTGCTCTGTGTAACAGATACAATTTTTTTAATGATTCATCCCTTCTTCGACATCCTATTTTGGAATTACCAAGGTGTCAAATCTAAATCTAAAGACACGCCCTTGGATCTATCTGCTTATAATACTGATGAATACCTGGATAAGTTACTGATAATGTATATAATGTTACTATTTGTGGTCGTCGTTGTGATTTTTCAATTACTAAGATCTCTGTTGGGTCATCTTTATATACTCCGAAAAATCGATTAGAAGAATTTTTAATTGGTCTGTTTCTAATTAAGGCGTTGGCCCCACAATCCGCGAGCCTTCGAAAAATTGAGACTTTTTATCAGGTCTCTGTGGTGACGTCTTACTTTCGAGATCCTTTGTTTTCTTCCCTATTGTTTGCCGAATATTCGCAGACGGTAAGCCCCAATTTTCTATTGATGCACCCCGAGTAACGGTATCGTTGATGCCTCCACCAAATTATGGTAAAGTCAATTTACCACGTAGCTATAGGAACGTAGAAATTTCGTTTTTTGTTTTTCTTTTTTGGTATGCAAAAGGTTTATTCGTATATTCGTAACCTTACAATCATTAAACTCGACCTTTTTTCCCCCTCATGTCACATTTCATTGGTATGACGTATTATACAGATTCTTTTTATTTTCGCCAATGTCCCATTCTAGGCAAATCCTCAATCTATTAATATTTCCTTATTTGGTGATGGTGTGATGATTGACCTCAGTTCACAATGTACTGTTTATACAGATTTTCCCGTCACCTTTTCATATAGGCAAGACGCTATCGTTCTCAATATTTGATTGGTAATTACGTAAATTCAAAGGTGACTCAAATCCCCAAAATCTCAGAATCAACCAACAATATTAGTTAAATAAGATTATTGATCTTGAAGGTTAATATATAACCAGCATAACAAAAAAAAACAAATTCATGATTACACCCAAGTTGATGAAGTCGTTATGGTCTTAACACATACTAATAAAACGGTAACACAATGTTAGCATTAGGAAAATAAACAGTTTACAGCATATTTACAATGACACACATCGCGCGTATAGGTCCGCCTCTCTAAAATCTAACGCAGGGTAATCCTTACGTATACAGATTGTCATACAATAAAGGCACAAACATGTTTGGATTTCACCGGTACCACAGATACATTTAAGATCCTCTAAAAAGGTCGTAGAACAGGCAGTCCTTCTTCACTGACAGGTCGTGTGATGACCGCTTGTACCGAGTTGAGATATTTCTTTCAAAGCCCTTGATGTCCATGACAGTATATAAATGTCTGAGACGGTTAGAACCAGATTATTCTCTCTATAAAATACATGTACAACAATTATCTATATACAATAATTTTCTCTAAACAATACATAAAATAAAACAAATAAACTTTTATATGAACAATGAAAACATATTTGTTATATTCATCACTGTACATTGGTATGTGTACAGACATCTCATATTGAATAGCTGGAGTTACGCTGCACATTGTTTTAAAACGCATTGTGAAATAATATCTCTGTAAAAAGTATGTTGATTAAATTGAAAAAGTATGTAAGCTAAGTCTTGCTGACAGATAGTAGTCATGAAACATTGACAATTATGACACGTGCTATGTGAATACGTTTTGTGAATACGTTCAGTTAATGTCTATTCTTCACTATTATTAGCCACCACATGCCGCCTTGTAAGACGCACGGTGACACCTTTCTCCGGCTGCACTGTGCTACTGGCCACGTGAACCAACGGAATCTGCGTCTCAGCACAGGTCTCAACGCTGAACTTCTTCACGAGACACGCCAAGGTCATCTTGGCCTCCATCAGGGCGAACCTCATACCAATGCAGTTTCTGGGGCCTGCCCCAAATGGAAGCCAGGCCATAGGGTGACGCTTAGCAATCCTCTCTGCTGTGAACCTGGATAGAAGAACAGCACAAAGATGACGTAGAGTTACGTCATGTCACGTGAACAGTGCTTACACATGACTATTGAAGAGCATGAATGCCCTTGGATCGCGTCAGTTGACATAACAATTACAAGGCTTTTAAAAATACTCATTAATTAAATAAAACAATTCTTCTGAAATATTTAGAAGCATCCTGCGAACAGTTATTTTTATAATCAAACACAAGGTAAGAGGATAATCAACAAGACTGAAAGTGTTTTAGAAAAAAAAATAAATAAAAAAACGGAAACGTTAAGACTCAAATAATCATCTCAGTTTCCAACAACTCGAAGTTAATTTATGTAGCAATATCATATGAATATCGATAGATGGCAGCAACTTACCGTTCAGGACAGAAGAGGCTGGGATCTGGGGGTCCCCAGTGCTCGGGATCCATGTGGATACTGTAAACGTCACAGCGGACTTTCATGCCTTTGGGAATGTGAACACCCATCACTGTGCTGGATTCTTGGGCTGTTCTCCCTGGCCCACTAGTGAAAAGATACATTTTTATAGAAGTAGTTTGGCGGGAGTCCATGATGAAAAGTAATCGTTTCTAAAGAGGCCCATTCTACCTTTACCGTGGTTTCCATCTATAAGACACGTTTGTTTAACTTTTCCTTAAAAGACCCTGATTACAAGGCTTCGTCATAAAGTATTCAGTATTTTATCATTACACAAAAGGCAATCAAAAAGATATTTCCCTGAAAAATGACTAACCTCATTTTTTAGAATCCGTTTCCAAAGCAAGGTTATGTAGGGAAAGGGCAGAATAAAGCAGGTGCTCCCAATAATTTATTAATGGCTATTTCATTAGCGAAAAATAAGGTATGTAGCTGCTTATACTAACCTTTTATATAAGAATATAAATGTTAATTAAATTTATATGTTTGAGTCCACTTACAATGGAGCGATAGGGTGTAGTCGTAGCGATTCCTTGAGGAACATGTCCAAATACTGCATCTTACTTATGGTCTCATACGATGGAGGACCCTAAAAGAGTTTTGAAAAAAAAAAATAAAAAAACAATTAACAAACAAAGTGAATCAACATAATAAAGATATTTCTTTCCATACAGAAACGGAAATCAAATTCTCCCATTTTCGCCTTAAAATCACGACATCAACAACATACATGTACATTTACGATCAATACTTCATGTATAGGTAATGGTTGGCTCATCTTCGAGAAAAAAGATGTCCCTCTGCATCAGTTGTAATGCGTTGCATTATTTTATAGGGACTTGTATCTTAATTGTGCACGTCCACCATTCCGCGTTAAAAGGTGTGTACAGAAGCGTCTTCTAAATCCAACTATATTACTCCAAAATCTATCCAAATCCAACATCGCTGTTTCAATATAAAATTGCTTTCCTTCAAGAGTTTTTTTTCCCCTACAGACACTTACCTCTTCAGTGCAGTATTGGTCTACCTCCTCCTGAAGAGCTTTCTGTGCCTCTGGACTCGTTGCTAGGTGGTAGGCAGCGTAGGCCAGGGCGGTGCTGGTGGTTTCATACCCTGCCAACAAAAACGTCGAACACTGCGTTTGGACCTCCTAAAGATAAAAAAGACCAAAGCCACCAATGATTGCTCAGTCACCTTTTACTGAAGTAATGGCGCTGCTTGTGTTGGTATCAATTAAGGCGTCTGCATATAGTCGTGAATATTTTGGCACACACACACACACACACAAACGCACATACACCAGATTGCCTTTTTACCTTTTCTGTGAGTTTGGCCTTTTGTGTAAATTTTCTTTGAGATGACGAAGAGTCGTTCTGCTGACCCGTTTCCCCTCCCTGTTGTGTTGTTATTACGTCACTGTCCGTCATCGCCTGGGGTACAGTGGAGTCCAGATTGTCAGTTTTGGCGTCCAACATTAGCTGCAGGAGATCCACCCGTCGAGACTGAAAGTTTACCACATGATTGTCAACCACTTTTAATTAGTTTATTGGTCACTGAAATACTTTGTTGGAGGGTATTTATTCATGTTGTTTGAACTGTGTTTGATACATGTGATGTCATCTTATCTCATTTCAAGAATTCATCACAATCAAATTATTGACATTTTAACAATTGCAATTGTCATTAAATAAGAAAGGCATATAAGCCGGAAGTCATTAAAAAAGAAAGGCATATAGGCCGGAAGCTTTGGTGATTGGCATTTGTAATTTTTTTTAATGGTTAATGTATAAGGATGTCAATATCAATAGACTTGTTCATTTCATTCCATGACCGTTTTTTACCAATAATGTTTTTTATACAGTTTACCTTTGGATCATTTAATCTGGACTGTACGGCAGCGCTGACCAGAACGTTAATGTCACGCACCCTCCTTCTCGTCAGATATTTGTTCAACACCTTGGCTAGACCGGTCAACGATGGAAAAAGTTCTGCAAACAGAGACATATAAAAGCTACAAATCCCATAAAAAGATTACTTGCTTAAATGATAGTTTGATCCTTAGGTTTATAAGTAGCATTCAATGTATTTATTTGATTGAACACCAGTATTCATTGTTATACATTTTTCACAGTGTTGGTAAATATCAGCAAAAAAGTACAACTGTGGTTATCCCAAATCTGCCAGCCCAAACTTGCACTTCACAGATTGTCGGCCTTATTGGTCATCAACAAAGACCAAAAAATGATATACCAGTTACTTTAAGATGTGTTTATAATTTGGGTCTAATAAAATTTATTGCACAATTTAACAAGATGAATATTGCATATATGTTTAAAATAAACTATAAACTTAAAACACTCTTGCAGCTATATTTTAAGTCTCAGTACTTTCCCTTACGTAAATTTCCTATAGGATCCCATAGGATCCCTATAAGATATGTTATATGTTTGAATAAACTATAAACTGAAAACATTCTTTCAGCTATATTTTAGGTCTCAGTACTTAAGACTTTCTCTAAAACTGGCCTATTCTTTCTAAAAGTAACATTGTTATGACGTGAACATACCGGAAATTAACATTGGCGTCATCATCATCAGTGACGCACTGAACGCTTTACGACATGCTGCCAGAAATGGTGACGTGTTATCTCGCACTGAGTTAATCTCGAGACCAAAGCCACACGAGCCGATGACTTCCAGGGTGAGGCCTTGGAAATCACTGAAATCGCATAGCATAAATGCATTAAATATTGAATAGCCCATAATTACAGCCAGCTTTATTAAACTCCTGTTATTATTTGTATCGCACAGAGAGAGAGAGAGAGCTCATTACAAAAACACGTGTGTATTGCATGACAAAATGATAATGGCGGCTAAGCAATCAGTGTATATGCATTTGTACGCGTGAGAGGATGAAAAGAACAACTTATATATAAAGAATGTATGTCTAGTACATTTAATGTGCAGGAGGATAAAACTCCCCCGAATCTGAGCATCCTTTTTGACGTATAAAGCCCCTCTGTCTACCCTACTGTCTGTCACGTTGATAATTCGTGTTAATTCACCTTATAGATCTTAAGGTAAATATAAGTATATTATTTTTGATGCATCTCTGAAGATCTACTATACGTTTGTCAAATATAATCAAAGCTTTCGGTCCCTGGGCCTTCTTCGGGGATTAGCAATGATAATCTGGATTATATTTGACAACTGTAAAGTAGATCTCCAGAGATGCATCAAGACGTAGATCTCCAGAGATGCATCAGCCATTGTCCTGTCTGTCACACACACGGCACTGGTTCTTGTCTTGTTGCATTAAACATTATACAGAAGATTGGAGCTCGAGATTAAATAACGTACCATATAACATATACAGAAACGTATGGCTTTATTGAAATCGCGAAGCAGCATCTAACTTTCGGCTTTATTCATCCATTTCCATTCAATCTGTGAAACTTTACGTGACTTTGTCAGTAGTTAGTACTTACCTGTGGATATCGAAAGGTTTTTCTTCCTGGCAACGCTTTTCCATCACTTCCATGAAACTGTTCACCGACTCCTGGATCAGTGGCGCCATCTGTAATGAAACGAAACAATTACACATGCCACAGTATATACAACCGCATATTAATCAAATAACAATTTGTATCACCCTAAAATAAAGCTACCATGGTGGGGTCAGGATACCCAGGGTTGTAGTAGAAAGAAGCATCTTATGCCGACACGTTAAGTCTCGATTCGAACTATTTCACTTTCATAATCATATGTTTTCTTACTTGTTTCATTTTAAGAGAGGAGAAGGTCGGGTTGGATATTAAACGTAATCGCTTCCATCGTTTTCCTTTCGCAAAAACCATGTGTGTTTCTTCATCCTCCGTGTCTATTGAATTAGGAATCTAAAAATGAACACAATGAATTCAATTTGAGCAGTGTCAGTGGAAAAAAAAGTTACATGAAAAATGCTCACACAAGAAAAATTGGCAAAGTGAAAAGTTTCTAGCTAAATTGCTGCAATATTAAACTAAAACTTAGCAGCAGCGAGATTGCAAAATATTTATATATATATATATATAATAATAATAAATTAATTAATTAATTAATAAATAAATAAAATTAAATTAAGAAATACTGCTGCCAATTAATATAATTTGCAACCATGTTGAAGAATTGAATTGTTTGCAGGAATGAATTGTTTGCAGGAAAGAATTGTTTGCAGCAATATTGCAGCAATTTTGCTGCAAATTCGCAGCGAATTCACAGCAGGCTTAATATTTTGCCAAGGGTCGGAGTACAATTTTGTTTGAATTACAGTACCAAGTATGCTACTATCATCCCAAAAAATCGTCTACCCAGCCAAACAATATTCCCGGTAAACATTAGTCTAAGGTCTCATTCACAGAGTCACCATCGGTCTACCATCGATCGACTTAACTCCGTGGGGACGCTCGCTGTCTGCAACAGCTGAATGTCACGCCTCCTCCTGGCGTTAAGAAGAATACAAGAAAAAAAGTTGGTGATGAAACGAGTGAGTTTGAAACAAGAGAAGGTGAGTCAGTCAATTAAGCTGATTGCACTTAGCAAGAGCCCCTGCAGAGTTGGGTCGACTGACATAGACAGATAGTATCCATGGGAATCGGGTCTTAAATGCAGGTCAACTAATCAAAATGAAAACACAATTGCCGTTCTTGGTAAGCGGCATGTTTGGGGAAATAATAATGATGATTATGCCACCAATAAATCTTTATGGGGATATTGGTAAATATTACTCACTGCTCTTTGGTGAAATTTACTGAACTGTTTGACAAAGACTTCTTGCAGAAAATCGACATCCGAGGTCACTATACTGGGAGAATTGAGAAAGAAGACCCTAAAATAAAGACAAGACCTGGCTAATTTTGGTTTGGATCAGTGGTAAATAATTCATGTATCTGGCATTGTATCGCAATAAATAGTGGCGAAAATAAATAGTGACTAAAAAGGACTTGATAATATGTTGTATATAATAATTATGTGAAGAGTGCGTTGAATACATACCCAAACGTTTTTCCATAGAGCTGTTCCCACTTTCTGTATGCCATCCAAACTGGCTGGGACTAGATCAAAATGAATGTGCATTTCACTATTGACTGATTTTTGTAGTTCAAATGTTGGTATCCAGGGTGAGTAACATTTTTTTACAAACTTTGGATGCATATTGGAATGACTTTTCACCGTAAAAATTTGACATTTTAGATAGCAACCGAATACATCAACAAATGTTCCTACGTCCTTTTTAAAAGTATAATTGTCGTTTTAATTATTTAAAAAGCTTATTGCAGCTTTAACACAACGGTCACCTGAGGACCATACATTCACGGTGTTACTGGGATAAAGTAACGACGAGGGCGACTACGTGTGAAAAGCCTTCCACATGTATGATATTACAACTGGCAATTACTTATAACGTTGATAGTAAATACAGCGTATTTCATCATTTCGAGAGAGAGCTGGTTAGTTTTCACAATTGTCTGAGTAAAAATAAAGGGAGAATACAAATATACACTGTTTATTTGCAGTGTTGTTATTTTCCAATATGAAAACAAACCGTTATCTGTCTGAAATTTCCGAATATGATGTTTGGCTGAGGACCGTTGATTCCCATCTTCTTGAACACACGGTAACTGTCTATCCTCTGCCTAAATACAAAACAACACGGACTGTTTATCTTAGGAATAGGTATAATACAGTGGTGGATTTAGGGGTGAGGGGTCCTGCGGTTCCTGGCCCCCTTCAATTTCTAAAGAAAAATCACCAATGGTTCCCTCTTGAACTTAGAATTTCAAATAGCTGAATCATAGTTCTAAACCGTGCTAAATGGCACTGTTCGTCCTCGAAAATACCAAAAACCTGTCGGGGCCTTAAGCGCCCCACCCCTTCAAATAATCCTACATCCGCCCCTGTAATGAAAATGCAATGTTTGTGATAACTATATTTCTTATTCAGAGCACTTGACGGGTCATTCACTTTTACTACATGTATCACAGCGAAAGTGTCAATTACAGCTCTAAGGAGTCGGGAGATTATTTTAATAATTAGTTGTTAAAACAAGTCTTACACATATAGCATGTATTACAGTCACAGCTGATTAGAGGAACGACCACACTGTAGTAATTGTTACATTTTTGTAAAACTCAGATTCAAATTTGTGCTGGTCGAATGATGAGATTAGTTATACGTATATGTATGTCAGGTTTTAAATCTACCATGCAGTTACAGATACGTAGTTTGATATAGTGTACCTACCATACCATGATATAGTGATATGTATTATACCTACTACAATACCACATTTGTATTTAGTGACATATTGTACCTACCACAACCATACTATGATATAGTGATATATATTATACCTACTACAAAACCACACTTGTATTTAGTGATGTATTGTACCTACCACAACCATACTATGATATAGTGATATATATTATACCTACTACAAAAGCACACTTGTATTTAGTGATGTATTGTACCTACCACAACCAAACTATGATATAGTGATATATATTATACCTACTACAAAACCACATTCGTATTTGGTGATGTATTGAACCTACCACAACCAAACTATGATATATATATATATATATATATATATATATATATATATATATATATATATATATATATATATATATATATATATATTAAACCTACTACAATACCACATTTGTATTTGGTGATGTATTGTACGTACCACAACCATACTGACACCAGGATGATGATAACAGCCACCAGATACGGCCACATTGTGAGTCGTCTGAAAGAAACGTTGAACAGTTTAAAATAAAATAATCTTTAAATCAATTTATTTTCCAATATGACAGCCTATTGGTTTTCCGTCTATTGGTATATGGTACATGCTGGCAACATGCTAAATGTTCTGTAAACTGCCCATATATGTATTTCTTTTTCTCTCTCCCTCCCCCCTCCCTCTCTCTCACTCTCATATGAGTAGTAAGGGTCTCTCACTAAATGACTCGCAGGTGCGTCCGTCTCCTTTATGTTATTAAATGCCTAAGCACGTAACCCCTACGCATGTAACCCCCATTTATATATACATGTACACGTCACGCAGGTGTAACTTGTGTAAAAAAAAAAGCTGATCTGCTATGCAATATATAATATAATATGGTCTGATATGTTAATATAATTTATACTATCTTGATATCCCCATTGCGCTTGCTTTGTGCAGCAAATCTTTCGGTAGATGTAAATGGAAATTAAGACTGGGCCCCCATACCTTAGATCTATCTAACAGGATCGATCCATATCCAAGGGTTTTCTCGCTAATCTGCTTTCAGCTTCGGCGGCTTAGGTGTCTGGTATGCCTACTGAAGCTGCTTAACGATAATTCATTACCCCCTAGAAGCTTCAGTCGCCGTGATAGAGATCTAAGCCGCTTAAGTTGATTGCAATTTAGCTAGAATCCCCTTTGGAAGAGATCGATCCACAGCTAGTACGCCAGGGTCTGGGAAAAGTTCCTTAGTCTAAATAAGACGTCACATTTGATTGTCTGGGATAATCATTAATTGAAATATAGACCTAAAGAAAATCCATAAAAATGTCTATCATACATACCTTTTTCCTTTGACTAGCTTACAGGCTCTTGTAAATGCACTAACTAAAACGTACCTTGCAAACCAGTCTTATATGAAGGGCTTGTTTACTGCGCCG